CCCTGGGTGACACCAGTGTCCCACCCCTGTCTCTTCCCAGTGTCAAAACATCCCAGTGAAGCAGTGGGAGACCCCCTGGGTGACACCAGTGTCCCACCCCTGTCCCTTCCCAGTGTCCCCACTTCCCAGTGAAGCAGTGGGAGATCCCAGGGGTGATGGGGGTCCCACCACTGTCCCTTCCCAGGGCTCTTACTTCCATGTGAAGCAGTAGGAGACCTCCTGGGTGATACCAGTGTCCCACCAGTGTCCCTTCCCAGTGCCAAAGCATCCCAGTGAAGCAGTGGGAGATCCCAGGGGTGATGGGGGTCCCACCCCTGTCCCTTCCCAGTACCAAAGCCTCCCAGTGAAGCAGTGGGAGATCCCAGGGGTGATGGATGTCCCACCACTGTCCCTTCCCAGCATCCCTACTTCCATGTGAAGCAGTAGGGGTGATGGGTGTCCCATCACTGTCCCTTCCCAGGGTTCTTACTTCCATGTGAAAGAGACCTCCTGGGTGACACCAGTGTCCCACCCCTGTCCCTTCCCAGTGTCAAAGCATCCCAGTGAAGCAGTGGGAAATCCCAGGGGTGACAGATGCCCCACCACTGCCCCTTGTCAATGCCAAAGCATCCCAGTGAAGCAGTGGGAGATCCCAGGGTGATGGGGGTCCCACCCCTGTCCCTTCCCAGTGTCCCCACTTCCCAGTGAAGCAGTGGGAGATCCCAGGGGTGACGGGGGTCCCACCTCTGTCCTTTCCCAGTGCCAAAGCCTCCCAGTGAAGCAGTGGGAGATCCTAGGGGTGACACCAGTGCCCCACCCCTGTCCCTTCCCAGTGTCCCCACTTCCCAGTGAAGCAGTGGAAGATCCCAGGGGTGATGGGTGTCCCACCACTGTCTCTTCCCAGTGTCAAAGCATCCCAGTGAAGCAGTGGGAGACCCCCTGGGTGACACCAGTGTCCCACCACTGTCCCTTCCCAGTATCCCCACTTCCCAGTGAAGCAGTGGGGGATCCCAGGGGTGCTGGGGCTCCCAGCCCTGCCCCTCCCCAGCCTCCCTACCCCCTGCTGAAGCAGTAGGTCCCGTAGGTGCGGAGCTCCTTGCTGGGGAAGCCGAAGCTGCGCACGCCGGGCTGGGGGAGCCCCCCGCAGCGCTGCCGGGGGGTGCTGATGGGGTAACGGACACTCCCGTCCTCCAGCCACCCCCCGTCACACCGGTCCAACTGGGAGAACTTCCAGGCTGAGTAGAGCTGCCCCACCTTGGCCACGGCAGCTCCCTGGTTGCGACAGGCTTGGGTGGCCTCCTTGAAGTTCAGGTGGCCACGGATGAAGTAGACGTGGCCTGGGGAGGGG